TCGCCCTCTTCAGCAGTCAATTTCTGAGTGATAATCCTAACGTTCCTCGCTCTCTGCAATCTAAACAGTAAATTTAATTAACAACAGATTTACTTATCTCCTCTCCTTGTATGTGATTAAAACTGGTCACTTATCTCACAAGTATTGCTTTGTTTCGTAAATTCGAGACTGATGCAAATTTTCTGGTGCAACCGTAAGAGAGCTTGAGTGCGGAGATTGGAGGTAGAAGGATTCTTATTATTGAAGTTCCATCACTCCATTTTCGTCGGGCTTTTATCATGCATGATTGATGATTTTTTTGAAAATTTGTTTTCTCATTAGTAATTTGACTTGCCCGTATGGCTACACTATTGCTCTGCTGTGAAACACTGCCTTAATGCTAGTGCTGGTTACATAATTCGTGCTTTAATTCGCAAAGCAGCAGTTGGAGGTTCAGAGGTGGAATCCTTTTTGATTTGGCTCATACCGACGCACCAGCGGGTTATTACCGATCCAACTGTAGGTAAACTTTGATCGAAACAAACACCTCTCTGATCTCTCTGTGCGCCGGAGAAAAGCGGCGCGTGTTCAGCTAGAGGCTGCGGCTGCAGCAGCAGAAGAAGAGACGCGTCGTCTGAGGGCTGAGCGTGAGGCCCGAGCACAGGAACTGGTAGCAAAGGCGGACGCGGAGGCACAGTTGGCCGCCAAGCGTGCTGAAGAGAAGGAGAAAGAAGCGAGGAAGGAGGAATTATTACAAGCTCTGGCCAAGCGTATTAAGAAGGAGCGGGCAAAACGGGCTAGGGAAGAAACGACAGAACAAACGACCGGGCATGATAAGAAGCGACGCAAAGTGGGTTCTTTCTTATCACCTAGCGCTTTGGCATACCCTTTTGTAGGATCGAAATTAAATGAAATTGGGTTAATTTTTCTTTGAAACGGTCAGGAGTATTGCTCTTTATCAGGAAAAGATAAATAATAGTGGCCTTGAGACCCTTTAGTTCTATTTCGAAATGGTGCTATCATTTGCAATGTCAGTCATATTCCATCATGCTAACAAACCTCAAAGCCACCCATTTTTCGTCTATGTCAATGTTTGGCAAAGATGTCGACTTCAGGTTAAATTAATTTTATTAAATTATTGCAAATGTAGATTGGGAACTGTCTCAACGGGTGTTTTTGGGCTGTAACTTAGGCTACTGGATTATTTTGGAGAATTTATGGATAGCTATTCCTGGTTTCATACTATATTTGATATCATTGTGTAACTAAACTATGCGAAGTCGCAATTCCAGTTGTTTTTTATTGACCACAGAAGCATCACCGTGAAGGGGAGAAAGTAACTTTAAAGAGCATTAAAGATGAACCTCCGGTCCCCACCACGAGCATTGCCATTCAGACTTCTCCCGAAAGGAGCCACACCTCTCGAAAACATGCAAGTGAAATGACAATTTTTTTGGAGTATGCATTGATAAACTCTAGGAATGTGTAAACATCCCAGTCACTCTCATGGTCTGTTTACATTTAGCCTATTTGAGAACCTGCAATAATGAAATTTCCTTTATCACATGACATTTCAGAGATTGCAAATAAAGTCGGGTTCTGAGATGCGGGTCAGCTCTCCAACGGAGGCTGGTGCGGAGCGAATGCGTGAGAAACTGCTGGAAAAGCGGGAATTGCAGCTGCGGGCTCGACTACTTTCGGCAAGTAGTCAATTTACTCTTTATCAGAAAGCAGAACGCAAAGATGCTAATCCTCACCTTCTCTTGCTTTAGCGTCTGCGCAACTAACTCCGAGACTCGGGGTTT